AAAAAAAAAAAAAAAAGACAAATGATGGTAGACAGACTGTGTTGTAATGATGATATATGTGAAGGAGGAAATGAATTTCAAGGGAAATACGCATCTTTAAAAATTCCGTGTTTATAGCCCCAGATCTTTTTATTTTATGTGTATGAGTGTATTGCCTGCATGTATGTAAGCGCACCCGTGTCATACAGTTTCCATGAAGGTCAGAAGAGGGTGTCAGATCCCCTGGCACTGGAGTTACGGAAGGTTGTTACCAGCCATGTGGGTGCTAGGATTCGACCCCGGGTCCTCTGCAAGAACAGCCGGTGTTCTTAACCTCTGACCCTCTCCAGTCCCAACAGATCCCACATTTTTGCTAAATAAAAAGACATGTTACGTGTAGGGACACTACTCCATCTATTACAAAGCAAGTTTGGGGCTGGAGAGACGGTTCAACGATTAAGAGAGTATTAACTACTCGTGCAGAGGACCAGAGTTCAATTTCTAGCACCCACATCAGGCAGCCACCTGCTACTCTAGCTCCAGGGGGCTCCAGTGTGCCTGGCCTCTGCAGGCACCAGATTCATGTGCACGTACCCACACACAGAAACATGTATACATAATCAAAAACAATAAATCTAAAAGAACCCACAGGTTTGGACATAGAAATAGACGTCAGGTTTATGAAGCTCCTCCTTGTGATTCACCCTCTCAGCAATGCTATGAGGTAGGTAGAATTATTCCATTTTACAGGTGAGAAAATTGAAACACAGTCTTAAGTGGCTTGACTCAAGGCCACAAAACTAATAAATGGGAACATTTTAACCTCCACTCGTATATTTGTCAGTTGGTACTCCTGGGAAGCAGGAATGTGGAGGAAATATTTCATTTTTCATTTTGATCTGATTACACTTTGGAGGGGTTCAAATGAGTATGTAACACAAACCTGCTGTTTCTTGAGGAAAAGCCATGAGTCCCCTCAGCCGTGGCACATTTGTCAAGTAAAACACGTTTTACTTGAGAAAGACAAAGCGTCTAACTACAACCCAGGTCAGTGAGGGCAGGACAAGAAGATGGGCTTGTCCTACAACCAGGTGGGAGGAATTTGGGGCTGGAGTGAGTGGTTGGGGAAGTGGGAACTGGAAAGACCAGGAAGGGCAGACAGGAGGCGGAAAGGAAGAGGGCTCACAATGCAACTAGAGGCTGAAAACACCCAGGAATAGCTGGGCGTGAGTCGTATGTATGTTGTGTGCGTCCGTATAGCATGCACAAGGACCTGGGTTCCATCCTGAGAAAGAGAAGGAGAAGAGGCAGGAGAAGCCGCTGCCCAGTGAATTAGTGAGAAGTGGCCCAGTGGCCAAGCTTTCTGAAGACCGTAGCTAAGAATGTTAGTGCACATACCATCTGGGGCCATGCCTGGCTTCTTAGTGACCTGCATGAACACGTTGGCAACAGCAGCACTGGCAGGAGCATTATCATCAGCATTTTAAAGCTATTTGTAGTTGTTGCAGTTCTAAAACATCAGATCTTCCCCCAAAAGCTAAAGCACCTCTATCAAAAATATGCTTTACATGAGAGCTCTTTGTTTATTGAGAACTAGTGGAGTTCAGCATCCACCAACAGGTGACAGAGGGAAATGTAAAATGTTGCGTTGTTGAAGACACCAAGCTGCAGGCAGAAATTCCGCACACAAGCTGATGAGAAGAAAGAGGACTCTTAGAAATCTTGGGGGGAAAGTACTTCCCACAAAATATGAAATTCATTCCCAGGCCACTGCTCTTATCCAAACATAAAACGTGTGTTCCGATAGATGGGGCGGGGGGGGGGGGGGCACATGTTTAATGCTGCTCTGGTCTGCGGCTCATTCCCGATTAAACACTCCCACCCTGGCTGATGTCACACTCCCAATGCCATGTTAGGGCAACAGGGTCAGGAAGATGTGTGCATCGGCTCTCACAGCCCCAGAAGATCCCTGTTCTACAGACCTGTGCTCAGTTCTTAATTCTTTAAATCACTCAGGAGGAGGCATACCATTAACTACCTGCATCCTGCATCATATAGATGAAGAACCTCGGGCCACTAAGGCAGGAGGAAAGTTCCAGTATCACACAACTCACAGTGGCAGAGGTGGGTTCAAGCTCAGACTTTCCTGGCTTTAGGATGTCATATGCCTAACCCGAGGAGATTCCATGGCAGCCCCCAGACCACATGGTCCTTGAAAGATGTCTCTTTTTTTTTGTATTTGAAAATTCTCAAAATTAGCAGTGACTCTGATCTCTAACAGAGCTGTGCAGCCAAGGTTCAATGGTTAATCCTGTCGGCTTGATAGGATCTAGACCCAAGTAAGAGGCAAATCTCTGAGTGTGTCTTTGAGGGAGTTTTTAGGATGTTAATTGAGGTGGGCAGACTCACCCTAAATGTGGACAGCGCCATTCTATGAACTAGGATGCAGGGCTGAATGAAAAGGAAAAAAAATCAAGCCAAGTACCAGTAGTCATCTGTTTCTGCTTCCAGATCATGGATGCAATGTGATCGGCTGTCTCAAACTCCTGCCACCATGCCTTCCCACTGTAAGGGTCTGTACCTTCAAGCTGTGAGCCAAAGTAAATCCTTCCCTCCTTTAGGATGCTTTTGTCTGGTCTTTTATCAGAGCAACAAGACAGATAACTAACACACAAAGCACT